CGCTCCACGCACTCCACGAAGTCCACAAACTGCACGAGTGGCGCCACAGCATCGCTGGTGCCTGGGTTCCACCTGTTATGTCACCATATTGCTTGATCATACTTGATTCAAGTATGTTCAAATTACATATATATATATATATGTAATTATATGTACACATTTAACTATATATTTATAAATTGTTTATTTTTTATGAGTTTTTCTCTATCCGTTTGTTTATTGTTCAAACTTAAGCCATTCGATCTTTGAGATGTTATGTATTGCTGGAACTCACGATTGCCAATCTTTAGGCAGCACAGTCCAAGGGCAGTCGGATCCTATAATATACTATAATGATATATTATATAATGATAGAGGCTCACCAAAAGGATAGAACAGTAAGATGTAGCAAGACACAATTATAACATACTGTCAAAATAGTTGTTCATACTGTTGTTGTTTTTTTTTTCATATATATATGTAGATATATATAATATATATATATAATATAATATATATAATATATAATATATATAATATATGATATGTGTATATATATATAACACCTGTTGTGTTGATGAAATATCCCATGTTCGCCACCAACATGTTCCCACACAACGCCCTCAGGTGAACGTACCTTACGACGCCGATGAATTGCCCGACGATCCGGAGGCCATCGGATGCTAGAATGTTTGTGAAGATTTTTGACATTCAACCGTATTTTGAATCTACTGCAGAATGATGTATATAAATACATTACATATACATAATGTAGTATACATATATATATATATACATTATATATATACATTATATATATATACATTATATATATACATTATTTATATATATATACACATTATTTATATATATATACATTATATATATATACATATATATATATACATTACATATATATATATATATGTATGTACACTCTATATATATATATATACATTATATATACATACACATTATATATATAGAGATAAATTCACATTGATATATTACATTATATTATATATGTATGTACAAAGCCAAGGTCTGGTTGCTGAAATGTGTTAACATATCATTTGCAATGCGGAGGCCCGTTGATAGCTAAGCTGGTGAACATAACTCCAATGACTATGGTTTATGACACTTTCTTAACATTTTGGAATTCATGGGGTGTATAAGCCAACTTATAACGGATGGGGGCTACAGATGCTTGGAAGTCGTCCCCAAAAGTGTTGTTGGTTGACTACCATGAACCAGTTCGATATAATCATGAAGCCTTTTTCGTGAACTTGGAGATGTCTAAACCAACTTACCAAATATTAATCTGGTTGATGATTAGGGGAATGAATGGATTATGATTTTCCATTAATTTTGGGAATGTCATCATTCCAACTGCGTTCACTCCATGATTTTTCAGAGGGGTAGGTAGGTTGAAACCACCAACCAGACTAAGTATCAACCCCCAATGCTTCGTCGCTACAGTTCCCATGTTTTCTATGTGAAATCGCCATTGACACTGGCGCAACTCGCAACGAATCGGTCTAAGGTCTTGCCACCCATCAAGATCCCCTCGGACGATCTGAAGGAGCTGGCCCTGTACTGCGCCGCTGGGATTTTCGACGACGCATGGTGAAGGGTTGGATCAACTGTTTGGATATGAGGTGATGGAAAGTGGAGATTTTAATGACTTTACACAGGGAACTTAAGGGGAGAGAAATGGAGATCGTGGGATGTCGATGGAGTAGGAAAAAACGGCAAGGAGAATTCTGAGCTGCAACGACTTCACTGTGCCACTGGAATGGTACATGGGGAAGTAAGAGAAACACGCGCAGTGGCTGCATCCCCAGTACGGCTTAAAGTTTTGCTATGTTTAGCTATAGTAATATCCCCATCTATAAATGCTACATCGGCAAGGGATGGTGTCATCATTCCCAATCTTTCTTAGCGAATCCTAGATTGGATACCCTCCGGTAGTTTGACATAGCTAAACATGGCCCAGATATGGATGATTGCCCATTAAACATAGTGATCTTCCATTGCGACCATGAGATTCCTCCACTCTCGGCTAAGAATTCATTGGTATTTGATCAAGAACCCAATAATTTTGGTTCATGGGGGTCACGTTTAGAGGGTTTGAAATTTGTGAGTAATCCATGAACGCCTATCAAGTGTCTTTATTTTGTATACGTCTAGTTTTTCCATCCCTGTGAAATGGGAAACAGTATGTTTTCAGCAGTGTTTCTTCCATCCCGAAACACATGTTTGTCCGATAAAAATTGAGCTATTTCATCCCCACAGCTTGGCCAACCTTGGTCAACTTCAAAAGTACTGCAAGAAATCTCTTGCTAAGGGTAAAATGATGTAAAATCTACTAACCAGCCACACAAAACAAACATGAATTTTATGTTCCATCATATCTATTCATATCTGGGATGCCATCCTTCCCATTGACTTTCACTCCATCATTTTTCAGAGGGCTAGGTAGGTTGAAACCACCAACCAGATATCCATGAAAAGATTCCCATTAGATCCCAAAAAAAAACCACCTAAGATTCCATTAGATCCCCAAAAAAACCACCATCATATCCCATTAAACCACCATTTTGGTCTGGGTCAACCACCAACCAGTTGTGGTTTCACCGTTTCACCGTTTCACCATGACCTGACCCTTTTTGGACCTGTCCAGGTGGAAGATGCCGGTTGCCCGCCATGGTGCGATCTACTGGAGGTGCCGCCGTGGCGTGGTCTGGTGTGGGCTGGTCATTTGACCAATTTTGACCGAAAAGTGGTGGACAAATTGTGGTTTTTCTTGTGGTTAATCATGGTTGTAAGGTATATAATGGTTATATAATTATGGTTATAACCATGATTAACCACTATTAACCACTATAGGGGATAGGTCGATATGGCTAACCACTAATATAATGGTTATACAGGGGATAGTAGTTGTGATCTCTGATCTGATCTCTTGGTCGAGATTATTCAATGGAAATTTGACCCTTTTCCAATGGACATCACTGGAGCGACGACTCATCATCCCAGTCGTAGCGCGACTTGATATGATGGACGAACTGGAAAGATCCAGCATTTTTAATGGGAAAACTATGGGAAAACCATGGGAAAATATGGTGATTTATATGGAAAGATCCACCATTTTTAATGGGTAAATCATTCTGGTTGGTAATGGATGATAATGGATGGTTGAATAGGAAAATCATTCTGGTTGGTGGTGACTGGAACATGAATGGATTATGACTTTCCCATTAATTTTGGGAATGTCATACTCCCAACTTACGAACTCCATCCATTTTTCAGAGGGGTAGGTATACCACCAACCAGTTATCCATTGAGATTCCCATTAGATCCTATTACACCACCATAATATCCCATTAAACCACCATTAAATGCCATTAAACCACCACCATTAGGTATACCAGCATTAGGTAGGTCAACCACCAAGCAGTATTAGATCCATGTGGAAAACGCCCACTATTGCTGATCAATCTGATCGGTTTCAATCCTCCTTGCGCGCAAGTTCTCCAGAGTTGTGTCATTTTCAGTACGTGAAAACATGCTTTGGGGGGCGGTGAAACCGGTATAATCTCGTGAGTGGCTCAACCATTGCAGCTAATGTCAGGTCCTTAAACCCCAGTTTGTTGTTGGTTGAATAGCTAAATCATGTTGAATTCCAATTTTTGCTGGTTTTCTCGCTTCCGCCACCCTTAGAACTTTGTCATAATTTTCCCAGCATCTCCATGGCTCTCGCTACATTTGAGAATTTATCAATCAATGGTGTCCCCTTCAGACTTTCACACACACACACTAATACCACCAACCAGATGATCATTGGTCATATTACCCTCTGGTAGTTTAACAGTTTGCTATGGAAAACCACATTTTTTCATTGCCGTAAATCATCTCTAAATGAGCGTCCATTGTCCGCTTTGTCAGTCATAGCCAGATGGTATAGATCCACACCCAATATCCATTACACATGTCCAACACACGCATCAGTTGTAAAACGATGGCAAGTCAATCCGTCAGGGTGCTGCATGTTATGTTTGGTTTATAACAACCAGTACTTTGACATATGATAATATATATATATATATGCATCATAAACGCCATCATGAAATTGGACCAACTATATTATATGTATATATATATATATACATGATAACCTTTGATAATCTATGACAATCTATGATAATCTATGAGAACCTATGATAATCTATGATATATATATATATATACACATATACATATATATATAATGTACAGTTCACATCCATTAACTATAGATCTATGAGACTTGCAGCAACTTTGCGATTTTTTCTGCCAGGCTTTTGGGCCGGATCCATCGTCGCGGCTGCCGCTGGAAACGCTGGGATGGCAGCTAAAGGAGCGGCGCATCTGGATGTCCTCGGGTGGGGCCAAGGTGGGCGAAGGAGGGGAAGGTTTTGGGAGTCGGTGGATCAAGCTGTTTACCCTCTGGTAAACGTTTACATAACCATGGAAAATCACCATTTTTTATGGGTAATTCAACTATAAATATGGCAATTTTCAATAGCTTTTTGTATGTTTACCAAAGGGTAGTTACTTGAGATCATGTTGTTTCAATGTTCTTTCATGTTGTTTTTTTTGATGTTCAGGGTACTGATGTGCTCACGGCATTTCTTGTTGGCATCCGGTTTTCAAGTTGCGTGCTGCATCATCGAATCATTTCCATTCAAGTTGCCATACGTTGGGTGGTGAATCCCCGCTTCCAGACACATCATCATCATCATCATCATCATCATGATGATGATGGGTCAACTCTCCGCAGTATGTTTATTGGATTTGGTTGGTCAAAATCCGCATGTTTCAACATTTTTTCAAAAAATCATGTTGCTGGTTGGTGGTTTCAAACATGAATTTTATTTTCCATAATATATGGGATGTCATCCTTCCCATTGACTAATATTTTTCAAGATGGTTAAAACCACCAACCAGGTTGCATATCGCCAATTGCAGCAATCTCCCAGGGTGCTAGCTATGTCTCCGCTGGATTTCATTGGGACCACATGCACAACGTCCATGTGGTCCTCAGCGGAAGCAAAGAGGTGCGGATTTTTCGGTGGGATGGAGGTGGCCGACTGTCCTTTTCCCACGGGTAAATGTCATTAAAAAAACCTCACGTCGTTCTCCCGAGCCCTGGAATCATGGTTTATTTTAGGGAAATCATCCCCAATATGGTCTTATTTTAGGTCAGTGAAATATTATAATTGACCCAGATTAATACAAACTTCTCCGCATGAAAACCAAGCTCTGGTAGATGAAAATCCATCGCAAAGGAGACCAAGAACTGAATGGTGGTTTCTAGTTTCAAATGATTAAAAATAGCCTGGCACATTGGTCATACAATGGGAGTTATACTACCTGGCTTGTTGGGGATTATGAACGAACCCAACCTACGGAAACGGTATTCAACCAACTAGTATTTCATGAGATGGGATCGGGATATTTGTAATGGCTCAAATGTGCCTTGTTTTCAACCATGGAAGTCAGATGAAGTGGGATGATGATTTACAGAATTGACTACTATATAATTATGATATGTTTCATGGAGGTGGAAACCACCAACCAGATAATATCACTAGCAAGAATAGTGGATGCAACTAACAAAGCTGGTTGGTGGTGACTGGAACATGAATGGATTATTTTTCCATTAATTTTGGGAATTTCATCATCCCAACTGACGAACTCCATGATTTTTCAGCGGGGTTCAAACCACCAACCAGAAAGACATGGGGCACCTTTGACATGTATGCGATTTGGCCGCTGAATCAGGGCAGGGGTTCCTGACTTTCGGAGGCATTTTGCCTGATTTTCCGACTTGACTGACTGACATCATGTTTGACTCCCGGACCTACCAAAGTGACCCGTTTGTTAAGCGCCCCTTAAAATAAAAGAAGGGTGGGTTCTAGGAAGCAATGAAAGAACATATATTATATGTATATACATACATATATACACACATCTCTCTCTCTCTTTATATGTGTAATATATATATGTATGTATGTATGTATGTATGTATGTATGTATGTATGTATGTATGTATGTATGTATGTATGTATATATACATGTAACTACCACATGTTTTAGCACGTAAGCGATCAGGGGTTGCCACAGGTGTTCTTGGTCCCTCCCTTGCAAGCTCCGGCTTTGTCGGGAAGCCCTTGTCGGTGCAGGAAGGATCAGGTGCTGCCAAGCGATAGTTCTGTTGGCTTATATCTAGGCCAACTATGGCGAAGTAGGATAGACTTTTATGGTGGAATTTTGATATGTACCTATGTAATCCCTTCCCCCTAATACTAACCCCCCCCAAATAATAAACACATCAGGTAGTTTTTATTATTAGGGGGTATCTATTATTAGGGTGCGAAGCTTCCCCCTAATACTAAATTTGAAACCCTAATATAAAAAACTATTTGTTCTATTTCAAAATCGATTAGATTTTCTTGTAAAATCTAAATAACATATTGCCAAAAATTGGATTTCGATGCTTCCCCCTAATACTAAATTTAAAACCCGAATATAAACAACTAGTCTTTTCTATGTCTAAATCGATGAGGTTTCCTTTTAAAATCTATAATTAAGATTTGCCAAAAATTGGATTTCGAAGCTTTCCCCTAATATTAAACTAAACACCTTAACATTTTGTTTTTTTCGACCTTAAAAGACGGACCCGAATAAAAAACGCCCCGGGCTTGACTAGTTTCTATTATTAGGGGATGAAACCCTGAAATGGTAGCTTCATTTTTAAATTGTGTTCTAAAGGGTATCAATCAAAAATCAAATTGGCCAACCTTAAATTTTCCAAAATTGGAGACGGACCCTAGGGGGAAGGGATTGGTTAGATGGGATGACTGTACTAGGCGTGTTTCATTCCCTTATAAACAAACTTTGTCTGAGGGTACTGTTGCTGTGGAATGGTTGTTTGATGTTGTTTGTTTTTTGAAGACACCGTAAGACTCAGCTTTTGAATGCTTAGAAACTACCCAAAATTGTAGAATCAGATATGGTTTATCGATGTTTATGGGGTTGTTGGGTTTGCCGGCTTACCAAAGATGAAACAAGTCTGATGTGCCTAGGCGAATTTTAATCAAGACCTCTATTGGGTGCTCCGTTCAATATGTTCACGGAGTCTAGAAGGGGACAGTGGCTACTACAAGCAAAAAACTAGCATGTTCAGCGGATTTTGATCCCTAACCTTGCCCATATCGTCACAGATTGGGAATGGGATGGAAAACCTGAAGCATGTCGTGAAACAAATCACAATCCCTCATGTTTTCATGTTTTGTCTCGAATGGCTTGTTTGATGATCCTTCAAATTCCTTAATGATAACTTTTGACAATCATGTCCACAAAAGAATACACATATATTATATTGTTATGTCTTCTCCAAGGAGCACTATCATAAAACAAATGAGAATGACATACATCTGCATAGATACATAGAATTATGCTATCTCATGATTTTATGTTGTGTATCTTACAAAGCTCCCTAATGGAGCAGAATGGATTTTGCTATGCCATTCACTGGAAAATTAGGCTACCATAAGTTACCATTAAAGTTACCATAAGTTACCATAGTTTTCATCAACATGATATGGTTATGGTAACTTCCCCAATGGATCCAGACCTTCGATGATCAGCTGATCACAGCATCGATGCCTTCGATCCACTTCGATCCACTTCGATCCGAGGCGCGCGACGCGATTTTGCCCGCAAGCTCAATGGCAGATGGACTGCAGCGCTGGAAGGAGAGATGCGAAGTTTGGAAAACGATGGATTTAAAGCATAAATGAGAAAATGGGATCGACTGTAAACAGATGTTTTTTTTTTAGATTTTAGATGTCATTTTTTTGGGAGTTCGATGTTCTTGTTAAACAATGCTAAACTATTGCTTGATGTTTGTTGGGGCTGAGCCGGGATGCCAGTTGGACATAGAGATCCCAAAGGTATCCTGAAGCCACCGCCGCTGCGGCAGTTAAGGATCTTCACCATAGGGGCCCCATAGGCCCATAGGTGCCATGGTCAAAGCTTGGGTAGCTTTTTGGTTCAAACCTCCCCGGGGTAAAGCTGGTTGCGCTAGGTGGGGGCTCTAGCCTGCAAATTGAGCCATGTCATTCTTTCCCACATCTGAGAAACATGCCTTCGATGTGGCTATGATTTACTCTTCCCGAAGTTGCTTCTGTCCCTGCCTGAAAAGGATCACTTGTGAGATTTGCCATAGACAACCAACACTGATGTCACATGACTATGTGATGGTCAAAGGTGAGATCCGACGTGATGGTCCAACTCTGCAGGATGGCTTCAATGAAAGATATTTCCAATCCAATCGATGTGCACATGACTTGGAATCGTTGGTATCTGTCAAGGTCACCACAGACCAGTGGCAACAGGTGATTTGCAAGTCAAGCATGTTCCTTGTCTTGGATGGGGTAGTGACCAATGGCATCATCGATGTCACCTCCAGACCGTCAGGAGTCATGGCATGCCCAGATGCCAGGATGAAAATGCCAGGTGAAGAAGTTGTGACATGCGAAGCTTTCTCTGGGGGATATTCTGGCTGGTCTCAGGCGATGAGACGCCTGTCAGAATTGGGTTACCCTTTCTCCCATCGTGTTGCTGTGGACCAAGAGGAAGTTTGTGCAGAAACATTCATGAGGTCGCATGGTTTCCAACACCGTGTGGGCCCACTCTCGTATGCATGGGGAACTGAGCCTCTTCCCGACCATTTGTTTGTTGTTGGAGACATGATGGCACATGACTGGAAACATTTGTTTTCGAACATTGCCTTTGACTTGATGGTTATGTCACCACCTTGCCCGCCATGGAGCCTTGCATCTCTGCAGCAAGGCCTTGCAAAAATGGAAGGAAGACTTACTTTGCATGCTTGGGGGTTGGCCCATATCCTCCGGCCACGCATTGTATTGATGGAAATGGTGAGTGGCATGAAGAGCCATGAAGATTGGAAGGTAGTGAGAGATTTCATCAGATGGGCAGGATACTCAATCCGGTTTGCTCGCACTGCCAATCTGTCTGAAGTTGCGCCACAACATCGTGATAGATTCATAGTGATTGCAACTCTTGACCAGGCAGACTTGTTTCCTCATTTGCCGGCAACTTGGCCTCCCATGCAAAGACAGACATTGGAATCGTTTCTGAACATCATCAACATTGATGAGCCGTGGCTTTCACAATGCAAGCTGAGTGAGGATCTTTTGAAGATCTACATGGACCCGAAACTCCTTCCAAAATCCCTCGACAAAAGAGGCCATGATGTCAAAAGAAACCGCAAAGATGTGGAACAGTACCGTGTGAAGCACCCTCATGGGGTTTTCGGATGCATCATGAGCAATTACTCATATGGGCACTTGCTTCCGGATGTCACCCTGCAGCATGCTGGCCTTTTTGGGACGATCCTTGCACTCCCCACAGGATTGCGGTTCATGAGCATTCCAGAGATTTTGATCTCACAGATGACATGCATGCCATGTTGGCTTCCGAAATGCCATCGGGATTGCATCCGAATGCTTGGTAATTCGATTTCGATTCCACACGCCTTGTTAGGTTTGACCAATGCACTGGCCTTCTTGTTTGAATTGTCAGGTGTCGAAGCCCGAGAACTGATGGTTCAAGTCATGAACAAGAGAATGACCTCAAGGAACATTCAATGGGAAGAGAAATGGGGTGGCATCTCCTTCACCCTTGATGACGATGCATGTCAGCCCACTTTGATGATGCATGCAGAGCAGACGATCACACTCAGGTCTCCGATGGATGTTGCCATTGCACATGTTGAAAGAGATGTGAACGTTATTTCTGCCTTGAAAGCTTTGCTTGGTCACTCATTCCCGAATGAACTTTTCCTCTTGCCTGGTGGTGACTTGAACTCACGTGTCATGCTTCAGCCGCAGATGGTAGTAGGTGACAATGACATTCAGGTATTTGCAAGTGTCCCATCCGCTCTGGACATTCCTTTGAAAGCCTTTTCATCACTGGAAGCAAAAGCACAGGAAATTGTGGTTTTGACAAAGTGGGGGGCATATGTTGTCCGTAGGGATCATGGAATGACAGTTGCTGATGTCATCATAGTGGTCGATCACAGTTTTGGCATCCGATGCACTCATTTGACAGGAAGCCTGGGTGAAAGACACCCTGAACAGATGATTTGCCCAGATGCAGTGTTTGCCATGGACACAGAAGGGGCGGCTGATGACCTCTCCATACTGGACTTTCTTGACATCAAAGTTGATGTGGAAGGCATCAGGTTCTGTGGCACGTTCAATGTCATTTCGGATTTCTTTGAATTTCTTCACAAGACAGCTTTGATTGATGTCATTCAATCTCTGGGTTGGATCTTGGTCGTTGATCTGCAGCAGGTGGTTGACAGATGTGTCACTACGGTTCGTCTAGTCCGTCGACCGTCAGCACTTGCCATTGTACAGGAAGAACTGGCCTATTGTATTGCCATCCACATGTTTCTTGTCAAGATCAGGACTTGGACTTCCGTAGGTGCTGTGCCAACAGTCAGGTGCCGAATCAAGCTCTGGCATGCATGGGTGTGGGACTCACTTGTTGATCCAGCCACGACACTTGAAAAATTTGACGAAGCCTGGAACTCCATATCGGGGAAACTCCAAATCGATAAGGCCTGGCGTTTTGTGATCAACAACAGATGCATGAATCCTCAATGGCCTCTGTCTTCATTCGTGCAACATGATGAACATGGTGACCCGCAGTTGTCCATTTTCCTCTTGCTTGGTGTGAGAGGTGGAGGTCCTGTCAGGCTGATGACCAATCAGCAAGCGATGCATTCGGATAATTTCCAAAACATGGCCCACCTTGAGGCACTGAATTTCGAGTCTGCTTTGACAGTCGCACTCAGAATGATGCTGGGAAGTGACGCTGAACATAGCCGATTTGATATTTCTGATTTCCTGGAAATTGATTCTTCCATCCGTGACGGCCAATTCACAATGAAGGGAGACACACAGATTCTGCATCGCTTCCTTGTGATGATGCATGAAACCGGCATGGAGACCATGTTTCGTAAATGTGGATGGATGCCAGCCTGTGTTTTCACCAAGCTCAGTGACCCACAGGAGTATGACATTATCTTTGTGGCATTGCCTCAGGTTCCAACTGTCACTTTGCAGTTTGTCAGGACTCTCATGACGTCAGCCCTCGCATGCATTGGTATGCCGAAGCCGACCAATGGTGATGATGATGTCTTTACCAAGGTGAAACTCTGGAATGTCATGGCCTTCAAAGGGAGATTACCGCGCATGTTTCCTATGCAACAATTCCTGGATGTATGGGACCAGGCTTGCACAATTGTTGGTGAACATCACACAATGAGGTTGGTGAGCCATACAGGTATGGTGAACCCAGATCTGGCCTTGAAACACTTCAGCAGGTGTGGACCGGACGATGTGACATGTGCAGTGATTACATTTGTTGGGGCCTTGAGGGGTGGTGGACCTGGAGCTGACAAAATGCCAGCAAACAGTCATGACCTCAACATCCAGCAGAAGAACGCTATGGCCTCTTTTTTGCTCTCCCAAGGGGCTGACTTGAAGGAATGTGTGGCCTTCATCGATTCCTTGGTGAAAAACGCAGGTGCGAGTGCAATTTCCAGCATATTAGGCCAAAAAAGGGTCAACAAAAAGTGGGAGGGCATCTCCCAGCTTGCCCAAGCACTGCACATTGAGATGCCGCAGATCGCAAAGAAACTTCAGCAGGCAAGGTCTAAGGCACAAAAGAAGTTTCAAGCACAAGCACGTAGTCAGCCAGCCAATCTCCCAGTCGAAGCTTTGACAATGGAGAATGGTTTTTTGCTCAATCAGGATGACACCAACTGCCTTCAGTTACAGAAGATCGCACCCAATGTCTCTGGGGCGGTGCTCATGCGCTATGATGAAGCGAGACAATGGCTGGAAAGAAGGATTGTCCTATCGCAGGACGAGCTGGTGATCATTGTTGTTGGTGCGTGTGGCCATACTGAATCTGACAAGTGTCACAAAATTCAGCTGCCGGTACTGATGAACAACGAGCCATTAATTGTTCAAGGTTGTCTGCATCAACTTGGAGCCAAACATGCAAAGGTCCCTTCGGATGATGAGAACATCATTCCTGAAATGGAGACACAAGTCATTTGCTTCACGGCAGTCAAAGACGAAGTTCCAAAGGAAACATGGGATGCCATTCTCCAATCTCCCGTGAAACACATGTTGCGACTTCTTGGTGAAGAGGTTTCTGACGTGGTTTTTTTATCGCCGCCTTGGGGTAGATCATTCCAGAAAGCTGCAAAAAAAGTGACTCCTGATCTTGCCACGACAGTGCAGTTCCACTGCAGAGTGCAAAGATGCGACGTCAGAAGCCTTTTGCGGGCTTCTGGAAATGGTGGAATCTACACATGCCCCAAAACAGAGGACAAACAAGTGTCTCCGGAGTACATGGTGGTATGGACCAAGTCAAATGCTGTTGATCTTGCTATCAGCTTATCCCAGTGTGAAAATCACTTTGGGTTAGTGAGAAGCCTTAAGGGTGACAATCCTTCCAAGGGCATTCGTTTTACACGCCATGACTTTCCGGCCGCCTTCACCAAGCTGAGACCTGATGATGAGATTCCAAACATTGTGTCCCACAACCATTTCTTTCGTGTTGAACCGACGCCTTTAGGAACATCTGCTGAGCAGATTCAGTCATGGATCGATGCCCACGGATGGAAAGCCAAACCAGTGCGATCCATCAA